AGACTAATAATAGTATGTTATGCATCGATAGCAGTAGCAACAGCTTTTCCAGGTTCTGCAGTCATCTGAACAAAATTATAGACATTCAGTACATTCCACTAAAACAAAAAAACCAAAGAAAAGAATAATATCCAGACAACAGCAGGGTTTATAGTTTTAATGCAAAGGCTATCAGAATCTCAGGAAGATTTTTTGAAATAGAAATTGCAATCTAATTCTAAAATATATGTGGAAATATTGAGAGTCAAGTGCACCTAAAATAATCTCAAAAAGAAAAACATTTGGAGAAATTGGAGTGCCACATATCAAGAATTATAAAGTTAAAGTAATAAACTATCAGCTTGTACAAAGCAAGAAAAATAGAGCAAAAAAACATTTGAGTCCAGAAACAGATTCACATATTCTGATTTGAAGTATGAGAGAAGACTGTTTTTAGAATAAATTTTTAACCTGACCTGGATATAATTAAGGTAAAAATGAAATAATGTCCCGTATTTTATACCAAACTCCAAAGTCAGTTAAATGAAAATGCATTCCTAAATGTGAAAGGCAAAAAAAATAAAACACCTAGACAACAGAAAATCTTCATGATCGTGGGCATAGACTAGTACTTAAAAGATGTTTTATTATAGTAAAATACACATGACATAAAATACATCATCTATTTTCTGTCTCCATGAATTTGACCGTGTATCTCATATAAATGAAATAATATTATCGTTTTTTGCGGGAGACTAATTTCAGTTAAAGTAATGTCCTCCAGGTTCATGCATATTGTAGCATGAGATAGGATTTCCTGCATTTTCCAGGTTGAATAATAAATATCCTGTTTGTGAGTATATATGCTTTTCTTATCCATTCATCCATCAGTGGACACTTGGATTAGTTCTCTCTTCTGGTTGTTGTGGATGCTGCTGCTGTGAATGTGAGTGGACAAATATAGGTTAATATTTTAAAAACAAAAATAGAGAAAATACTAAGATAAATGAATTTTCATAAATGAAAAGATAAATTCACCCAATTTTAATATTAAATATTTGTTTGCCAAGACAACATTGAGAGTGTAAAAGCTAGACACACAGTGAAAGAAGATAATATAAAATATTACTAACACGATTTGTTTGCAAGTCATAAAAAGAACACCAACAGATTAACAAGAGAGATATAACTCAATTTAAAATGTGGGCATGACCCTTGACTTTACTATACCGTACCTTCCTAGTAGTCAAGAAAGTTCCATGAAAACCATAATGAAGTGTTACTGTATATAATCAGTGGTATAAACTTAACAAGAACAAGTATTGATTAGCCCTTGGAGCATTTTAAACTCTAAATACTGTTGCCACAAGCACTTTAGAGAACTGATTATCTAAGGAAACTAAGCATATGATATAAAGACCATGTAACTCAACTGTTCCCCAAGAGAAATGAATGTAAATATCATGAGAAGACACGATCAAAAATATTTTGAGTATGTGAAAGACGAAGAAAATGGCTAAAGGTGTAGGGAAAGAGGGAAGGGAAAAGGGAATAAGGGAAAAGAAAAATATATGAGAAAATGAAAAAATGGAAATAAAGTGTTAGTAAATGGGGAGAGGAGGAGGGGGTGAAGGGAGGGCAGGGACAAGGGTGAAAAATGAGAACCAAGACCTGTCATGTAGAGGTACAAGATCCCAGTAATGAATGTAACTGTACTGTATACATAGAATGTACCAATAAACTCAATAAAAAGAAAAAACATATTCTGAGAGCCATTATCTTAAAAATAATTTTGTCCAGGGCCAGGGATTTAGCTCAATGGTTCCACTGCCTGCCTCACAAGCACAAGGTCCTGAGTTCGATCCTCAATACAAAAAAAAAAAAAAAGAAATCCATAAGTAGTTGAATGAACCCTTTGAAATAATATTTAATAATGAAAATGAACAATATGAAAAGAAATAAAATACAGTTAAATAAGACAGCATGGATAAATGTCACACAGCCCAGGCAGATAAAGAAAGCGCTGTTTGATTCTGTTTTCAGATGGTTCCAGACCAGGGAAAACTAATTGAAAATGTTAAAAGACAGGATCATGGTTACCACTTGGGGACCTAACGAGTGAGAGGGGATGTGACAAGGTCTTAGGACGCAGAGAGTAACGGTCTGTCACTTACGTGGAGAGGAGAATTGTGATCCCTTTCCTCTCCCAACGTAAGGGTCACTGCTGCCGCTCTCCATAACAAAAGATAGGCTAAGAAGAGAAAAATATAACATATTTACTTAATTCTAGTTTTACGTGACTTGGGAATTTTCAGAAATGAAAACCCAAAGACCTGGGGAAAAATATCCATTTTTATTCATAGATTCAATTAAGAAAGGTCAGCCATGTAAACACACGACTCGTCAAAAGGGTCTGGCCTAATGATCATTGCCGGAGAGGGAAGCCTAGCACACATCTATTCCAGGGCTTCTTATACTCTATGCATGACATTACTTTCTCTCAAGTTTGGGGCAGGACCCCTTTGGATTGAGGCTCTAACCTATGTTAGATATGATAGGTCAGGCTATTTTTTTTATGGTTAGTGCCTACAATGGAAAGGTAGGGAAAGTAATTTTCTACATTTTATGGCTTGCTTAGGGAGAAAAAAATTGCAGTTTCCATGACACAACTAGTGGAAAAGGGATTCTGGTTTCTGTGGCTACCTTAGGGTAGAAGGAGAAGCAGGAGGCAGGAAGACAGTAGAAGGTCCAGAAAACTTCTTATAAGGCTGCTCCTGAGGGCTTTCTTGTTCCTTTAGTTCAAAGTACTCAGCATGCCAAAGTGCCACCTTTTCCAGTACTGTGTTCTGAGCCCCAGCAATTACACACATTGAGTGTGCATTTAGAATTTTGTTTTGGTGAATGGGGATTGAACCCAGGGCTTCCCTACTAGGCTCTCCCACTGAGCTACATCTTCAGCCCTACATCTGTAATTTGTACACTCTGTATTTCATAGTTTATTATAACATATCATATATGTACATGCATAACATACATATTTGAATCCATAGTTTACTTAAGAACAAAATATACTGGAAAACAGAGCAGTGGAAAAGCCTGTGCTTTGGAAACAGCCTCCTAAGGGTAAGTCCAGCTGTGTCACTCACCAGACACTGATGTGAGGCAAGTCACTCCACGTGTGCATCAGTCTCTTTCACCAAAAAGGGAGAAAGCAAGAAGTATTAGGCCCAGCCCTTGTTCTGAGGATTAAATGTGTCAACTTACAAAAAACACTTCAAAGAGTTTGCACATAGTAAGGACTGTATAAACTGTTATTATCATTAATAATAGTAGATTCAGGATAAATGTCTTGATTAATCTTTAAAATAATTTATTAGACTGTATGACTGACAAGGAGAATAAGATTTTTATGCTGCATGTTTGTGTATTTTTCACAAAACACAGTGTAGAACCTTGCACACAAAATTATAAGTAGCAATTGTTATTGTAGAGCTAACAATCATAGTGTATTGGTAAGACGTATAGTAATATGGTATTGATAGCAGTAGCACTACCTTTATCTAAAGAAAGGAAATATGCCAATGGTCACTAAGTTCTTTTGCTCTATTACACAGATTGATGTTTTTTCCATTAAGGCTGTATCTCTTGGAAAATTGAAGAAAGTTCGGGTTAGTCACGATGGGACAGGTCCAGGTAAGATTTGGATTCTTGGTAAGACACTGGTTTTGCAAATTAATTGAAATAATATAAAGGCAGGTGAAAGAAAGATGTTTAGATCATATAAAGCTGAGACAACAGTTTTTTTTGGAAGAAATCATACTTACATGAAGTCTTACCAAATTAGGCGTATCATATGACTTACAAAGGCGAATTGTTATATTATGGAGGATATTTCCTAGGAATACGAATCTGTGGTTGTTGGGGGGCAGAGAGACAGAAACAGACAGAGATAGAGATCTCCAGATCTATCAGGCTATACTATACTCACAGATGCATTTCTTCTTCTCATCTGCAAACTAGCACCTTAGGGATGGAACATCCTGGGTCCTTCCTTCCCCTCCTTGTCCCTGCCCCATATCTGATAAATAAGTCCTTTCAGTTCTAATTCATTGATGTCTTCTCTTTAATGTCTTTGGCACTATTAAATTCAAACTTTGGTCTGTTGGACTCTAGAACCTACAGTTTTTACAGTTTCAACATAACTATGTACTTCAACATATTACAGTAACAAAAACATTTATTATATTTATTTTTCTGCTCCTTTATTCTTTTGATGGATTTTGATTTTTGAAGCCTGGGATTATATATCATTTCTCTTTAAACTCCCAGTACTTGATGCTGCATAGATGGTGGTGCTTGACCCTGGAAGGGTGTCACTGTGTCACTGTGCTGTCACTACAGAGTGCTGTAACTATATTGCTGCAGAGAGCTGTGTCTTTCAGATTCTTTTCCTGGTGTATGGAAACTCACACGGTGATTTTCTGCTCTTTGCCAACGTCTTTCCTGCACCCAGGGCAAATTTTCTAAAGTTGTTCATCAGAGTCAGTGCTGTGAATTTGGCATGGATCAGAACAGAGCAGTTGGTTGAAACCAAGGCTCTCGTTCTTAAAAATTATTAGAAGCCCCCTAATAATCACCAGTTCTCTTGGTGATGACGACGGTAGAAGATCTATCCCAGACCCTAACAGGGTAAAGGTGAGGGGTTGTTGAGACAGCACAGCCAGAGCAGGATTGTTGACTATCCCTAGGTTAAGGGAAAAGTAGTAGCGAAATATTTTAAAGGTTGGACTCTAAAAAATGAAAATGACAGGAGGAAAAATGAAGGGAGCATTATGATTTTAAATTTGTTTACAGAACTCAATTACTCATACAGAAAAGGCTTTTGATGGAGAGAGCAACAAACTTCTTCTTTTTTTTTTTTTTGGTACTGGGGATTGAATTCAGGACCTTGCACTTGTGAGCCAGGCAGCAGCACCACTGAGCTAAATCCCTGGCCCAATAAACTTCTAAAATATTGACTATTTTCAGGGAAACATTCATTAACAAAAACCTGTCACGATTATGGAAAATAATCCTGTGATTTTTCCCAATGAATTTTTCCATTCATTTTTTTTAAAAAAGAAGCCACATAAACAAGCATTATTCTTCAAACATGAATGCACTTTGCCTTTTTTAAAAATTTTGTTTTTTGGTTTACCAGGGATTGAACTTAGCACTTGTGAGGCAGGCGGTAGAACCACTGAGATAAATTCCCAGCACTGCCGTTTGCCTATGGAATCTAACAAAAAGTAAAATAGGGCTGGGGTTTTAGCTCAGTGGCACCACGTTTGCCTTGCAAGCACAAGGTCCTGGGTTTGATTCCTGGTACCACCAAAAAAACCCAAAAGTGTAAAATAGTAATCCCCAAATTTGCAGCAAACTGTAAAATTTAAGAATAGCAATTATCTGAGGCTCTGAAAATAGATATCTGGACTCAAACCCCGAGATTTTGATCGAGGAGGTACTGAGCAACCAGAAATATGTATGCTTTTCTGTTAGTTTTGATATAAGCACCAGAGGGGATTCTGATCTGTGAAGTCCTTGGAAAAATTCTCAGTTCATGAGTTCTTTGTCAAGGATCCTTTGGTGTCAGGCACTTTGCCAGGAGCTGGGCTTAAAAAGGTGGAAAGATACAGATGACTGTATCCTCACAGCAGGATCTAGTGGTGGCAGAAACATCTGAAATACTTTTTGTTATAATAATTTATAGGGAATGTTCTCAATATGATCCTCAGCATTCTATTGCACCATTTGGTAAGGGGATCTACTGAGTTCGAAAGAACTCTATGCTCTATGCTCTAGGAATTCTTGTGGCTTGATTCTTTTCCCACTCAAGTTTGTGTTTCTCAGATTCATTCACTTTCACATGTAGTACTTGATAATTTTCTTTCACAATTGTGTAATGTTCTATTGAGTGGTTACACATAATCTATCTACCCTTCCCTTACTAATGGATAGTTGTGTCATTCCTAGGTCTACTGCAACAAACAAGCTGAAATGAACTTGTCATGTCTTTTAGAAATAAAAGTTCTCCTAAAATGATGACTCCCATGTGGGAGTGAATTTGCCACCTCCCTTCCAAATCTTGGGAAATTTGGCAATGTGTGAATACTTTTGGTTGTCACAGCTGGTAGGGAGAGTTACTGGCAAGTAGTGGGTAGAGACCTGGGAAGTGGCTAAACAGCCTACAATACACAGGATAATCTCACAACAAAGAACTACTGGGCCATTATATCAGTAGTGCTGAGGCTGACACACCATGTCCTAAAGTCACCTCAAAGAAGTCAGCCATTAGATTGAAGAATGTGGTCATATTCAGCTTTATAAGATAAACTCATTTATTTCAAAAATGGTTGTACTATTTTACTCCTACCTACCATGTAGAGGAATTTGTATTGTGTCAGATTCTCATCAGCACCTTGTACATTTAATCTTTCACTTTTATTAATGAGTGTAAAATGGAATCTTATAATAGCATTTAGATTGGTCTAGTTTCTAGGAAGCATGGATATGTTTCTGTCCATTGAATTTCCTCTTTTGTGCAAAAACGCGTTCTTGACTATACTATTTAAGGTAAAGGCAACTGTTTTCTAATGAGAGGTATGCAGCTGTGAGGGCTCACGATGTGTACAATTGTGATAGCTCTGTCCATCTAGACATTAAAGACTCAGGGTCCTTCCATATCATTAATCTTCCTTCACTTAAATCTCGTGCTCCTCTGTGCGGTCACAGCTGGTTTCACCACACAGAAAAGAAGGAAAGTCCCTGATAATGATGCCTCCCTCTTAAGCAAGTGAGATGAGAACTGCACCAAACTTGTGGCCACATTTCATTACTGAGAATTTCATTACATGGTTCACCTATAGCTACAGATATACATGGTAAATGGGGGAAATTGCAGAGATGTCAAATAGGGGAGAGCAACCAGTGATGACTGCCCCAGAACATTCAACTGTTGGTGGTATGCTGATGATTGAACTGCTTGATCGTAATGTAGTTCCATTTGTTAGTATGATTTTTTAAATGATCTGCAGATTTTCCATCTTATTTAAGAAAATCTATATCAGAATTATCTAGACAGATAGATATTCACCTATAGGTGTGTATGTTATACATATACGTACATGTATTTCAGATCTTGTCTTTTAAGATTTAATAATTTACTCTATCTGCAGTTGATTTTTATGTATAATATGAAGATGAAATCCACTGTCATTTTCTCCATATGGATAACCAGTTGTACCATATGGAACAACTGTTAAATCAGCTACTCTAAGACTAAGTGTTCTTCAAAGTCATCTTAATTATAAATTGATAGACCTTGCTTTTCATGGTTCCTGCTTGCACAAGTTTTTAGTTATGATGATTTAGTTGACTAACACAAGACCCCCAGTTACATGGTTCAGATTTCAGTTATCACATTCCATTAACTTTTACTGCATGAAGTCCAAATTTTGCTGCTAACTTTTCAACTCACAAATCATTATATGGATCCTGATCAGTGAACAATTACATCATTTGTTTCAAAGTTGGACTGTTGGTAATAGGTCACTGTGCAGCTGTTAAATTCTGCATAGAAAACAAAGCATAAACTCCTTGTCTACTTGTGATGAACCCATGGGACAATTTATAGCAGTGTCTAACTGCAAGATTAACATGCATCAAATAAGTAAAAAGTATCAAGAAATCAACTAATAACAAATGTTGGCAGGGATGTGGGGAAAAGGAACCCTTCTCTCTTGCATGGAGATACCTCAAAAATCTAGGATTACAGGTCCCATTTGACCTAGCTATTCCCTTGATGTGTATCTTCCCAAAATAATTAAGAGTCATACCACAGCAATATATGTACACCCATGTCACAGTTTGAATAACTAAACTGCCTAATTGCCCATCAACTGGACACTGGATAAACAATATGTGGATTGTTTTTAACATAAAATGGAGTACTACTCCACCACAAAGAATGAGAAACTTGAGGGGGGCAGGGATTTAGCTCAGTGATTCCGTGACCTGCCTCTCAAGTGCAAGGTCCCAAGTTCAATCCCCAGTACAAAAAAAAAAAAGTACTAATAGCTAAAAAAAAAAAAAAAAGAATGAGAAAACTAGAGATGTTTAGAACTAAATGGTTGCACACTGAGGCCATACTCTTAAGTGAAATAAATAAGACACACATGTGTAAATACCAAATAGTTTCTCTAGTGTGAGAAACTGAAAGTATACATACAGATCAAAATGTATACTAGATATGTGAAAATAGGAAGAAAAGATCCAAAGGGAAGTATAGTGGAAAGGAAAGAAGGGAAAAGAATTAATATGAAAAAAGAAAAAAAAAAGGAAATGAAGTCTTTGTAAATAGGGAAGGATGGAGGGGGTGAAGGGAGGGTAGGGGTATGAAGAAATATAAGAACCAAGATATATTATGCAAAGGTACAGATTCCCAATAATGATATACACATTGTATATATAAATTGCACCAATAAAATTAATGTATTAAAAAAAGAAATAAAGTGGGGCACGATGGCACATGCCTGTAATCCCAGCACTCGGGAGGCTGAGGCAGGACGATCGCAGTGAGTTCGAGACCAGCCTGGGCTACAGAGTGAGTTCCAGGTCAGCCTAAACCACATAGTGAGACTCTGTCTCAAAACAAAACAAAAAGTAAAAGAAAAAAGAAAGAAATATGGACTCAACAAACATTGTTCCTTATACATCTATATTCAATTTCATCCATCTCTTTCTTTTTTGTTTATTTGCTTTGTCCCCTTCCTTTCCTGTCTCATATTAGAGAATAAAGTTTATATGTCTTGACAAGAAAACCATCAGCTACATTTCAGTTTTTCTACCATTTTAATTAACTATCTATGAGTTCAACTAACTGCAAATCAAAGTATTCAAATAAATTGCATCTATACTAAACATATACAGATTTTTCTTATTATCATTCCTTAAATAATATAAATACTTTGTGTTAGGTATTACTAAAAAAAGAAGTAAAAAGTGATAAAGATCAAAGTGAAGTTCAAAATAGATGAAGTTGTATAAGAAAATTCTAATTTGAAGAATGTTAACATTACCACAGTTAAGCAGCCAGAGGAAGCTAACAAAGGAAATAAACACACAAACAAAGAAAGCGCTTATGACCAGAGGAGAAAAGTGCTGGTTAAAAATGTTATGACATTGAAAACAGAAAGGGTAAAATACTGGGAACTGATGCAGACTTAGAAAGGAGTTTGGCAATTTGCTAAGGCACAGAAAAGATGGTTACTCTATGGTAAATTATGAGACAAGGGAAAGTTGGCAAGAGCCAGGAGATATAGCTCAGTAGTAGAATGCTTACCTAACATGTACAAAGCCCTAGGTTTGATTCCAAGTGCACACACACACACACACACACACACACGGATGAAAGAAAGAAAATATGAAGGAAGAAAGAAAGAGAAAGACAGAAAGGAAGAAAGGGAGGGAGCTAGGAAAGGCCAGTAAAAGCTGTTCAGTGATTACTGAGGTTTCTTTTTAAATCTTCTAATGATTTAGATTATTGTGTTTATACATTTTTAACTGATAGTAAGAGTTTTTAATGATTTGACAAAAACGTTTAGAAGTTGTCAAACATTCATAGTTTTGCCTACCGAGTATTAGGATCGTGTGGCATGGTTGTGCTTGCTGTCCTTTTTATTACACTGAGTAAAGCCTGCCTGCATGCACTTTGTATGAATGGGGTAGATCACGCTGAATCCATAGTCAATTTATCAGCTATAGCAACAATTATGTATTTCTTCAATTTGTGTAGATTTATAATAAATTTTGATAAATGATAGATGAACCCCTTCCTTCTAGTTTAATTACATTGAAGTTTGAGACTAGCTTATGAGAAACTGATGTCTCTACAATGTCTTCCTATTAATGAATATTGGCTAGATATTAATTTGTTTATGCTTTCCTTGCTGTCATTTAGATAATTTTCTGTAAAGTATATTACATGTTCTTGTATTTACTGATATATTCTTAAACTTTACAGGCTTTGAACATTGTGACTTTCAGTGAATTATGTTTTTGACTGCTCCTTTCTAGACAATAGAAATGCACTGTCCTTTATATATTTGTTATTAATTTAACCATTTTTCTTATTTGACTATTATACTAATTTCTGTAATTTTCTTTGGGGTTTTAATTAAGTCATATCATGTTTAAGGGATGAAAGTTCTATTTCTTTTTTAATACATTGCTTTTCTTTCCCTTTCTTCCTTTACTCCTTATTTTCTTCCTTTCTTCTTTCCTCTCCTCCCTCCCTCCTTTCATTTCTCTTTCCTTAACTCATTTTTCTTTAATTTCACTGACAAGTGAAGTAATCAGTGATAACTCCTTCTTTGTCATCATCTCCTCCTCCTCCTCCTCCTCCTCCTGCTCCTACTCCTCCTCCTTCTTCTTTTTGGTACCAGGGATTGAACTCAGGTCCTGGGGCTTGCAAGGCAGGTGGCTGCGCCACTGAGCTAAATCCCCAGCCCAATCAGTGATAACTTCTAAATTTTCACCATAAAGAATGATTATGTCTTCCATTGTTATTCAAACACATCAGTCTTCTACATCGCATAATAATTGAGGTACATTTGTATAAATTTGCTTCTTTCTTTATTCTTATTTATGTGAATTTAAAGATTTTTTAGAACTTTATAGAGTTTTTGTTCCTAATAAGTAACTCTTTTTCTTCTCTAAGTAATTAAGTCATTCACTCTTGCTTTCAATTCTCTACTAATGTTATGCATTAGGTCTACATGTGTCCCCAAAGTCCCATGTAGTCATAGGTGGGGCTTTTCAGGGGTGGCTGCATCTAAAGTATATGATGCTGCAATTAAATAATTAAATGTGTGATGACTGGATCAAGGGGATGTAAGTAATGCATTAGTCCACTGATTGATTTGGCATAGTTCTGGGTGTAGATAATGGGAAGGCCCACCCTGGGGGTGAGTACTACCACCCTAAAGGTGTGTGGCATGGATAGGATATAAGGGCGGAAAGAAGGACTCTGTGGTTATTTATTGCTTGCTGCTTGCCATTTTTGCTGCCTTGTGCCTGCCATGAACTATTTAACCTCTGTGATGCCTCTCTACCATGCCACCCTCCTTGGAGTCAGCCAATTATGGACTGAAACCTCAACAAACCATGAGCTGAAGTAAACCTTTCCTCCTTTAACTTTGGATGTGAATTTTTTCTCAGCAATGAGAAGAGTAACTAAGACAACTGGTATAACTTAGATGTGCATATTTTCACACCCAAATTATTTGACAAGTGTTAAAAAGAGTATTTGGAGACTTTAAACAAAGTCACAATTATGGTATATGTTATGCTAAAGACAGTGTTTGTCAATTTATACAGGTAATGGATGGTTTCTTGAGAATATTATTGTTAAGTCTGAAGAGGGAGATAGCAGTCAAGATGTGCTATTTTCATGCAACAGGTATGCTGTTACCATTATGCAAAATTAAATGAGGTTATGCTCCCCTTGATACAGTTTATCCCAACCATATCCTCCTAGCTGCCTCATTCCAGCTTTTGGATATCATTCCCTGCCTTAAAAACCAGAGCTAAAGATGTGCTCTCCTCAGGAAGCTGTTTTTTTATTAACATTAGTAATTCTCTATTTGTAATATTCAACATTTTTCTCTTCTGGAATAAGTATGCTGAAATGGAAATAAATATGCTTTATTAGAATTTTTAGGGTTTTGTTGTTTTTGTTTTTGTTTTTGTTTTTGTACTGGGGATCAAACTCTGCTTGTGAGGCAGATGGTGGCACAACTGAGCTAAATCTCCTGCTTTATGATTTAGAAAGCAGATTCTTGTTTCTGGTTTTTTAAATACATGCTGAACTCCTTGCTACTCTGCAAACTTGGGCACACTTTCAACTTCTCTGAGGTTCCATGTTCTTGTGTGGAAGATTGGAATAATGCCTATTTTTCTTAATTGGGTCATTAAAATCAAATCTCAAATGAAATGATGTGTGTGAACTCTAACTAGTTATACTAGTATGGCTTAGATGTAATAGCAGAATCAAGTTGCATTAGTAGCTCTGTAACTCTTTGGCTTTGTGTCCACAGGTCAATCACTTCAAGTCTCTAATCCTCAGTTTTCAAAATCTTGTGATGTGAATGATCAAATCATCCGTACCCATTTAGTAGTTTCTAGAACAGAATATGAAGTGCACCATAAAACAAAATACATTAATAGAAAATGTAAAATGAACTTGCATCGATTATAAATTAAATAGATAGACTATGCTGATTAACTCATTCAGTCCTGCTGGAAAAGAAGTGCAATACACAGTGAGGTTCAGCAATAAGGCAGTCCAGTCTTTCTCAGAAATTACCCATAGTTTCCCTCATGAGCACTATGCTAACATCCTAAGGGCCAGGATAGAAATTTACATGTGCAGTGAGGTACCAGGTGTCAAGCTGTTACATCCGTGTCACTGCATGCTCCTTGAATCTAGAGAATTCGTGTGTTGCATCGTGCATGTTAATTTGTCTATTTATTCATGCAAAACTACTGCATATCCACTTGGTGTCAGACACTCAACTGATTGCTAGATATATAAAGATAAAAAATTAAGAGCCTCCGTTTTCAAAGAGTTTCCATGTAATGATAGGTAAGGCACAGGGGATGTTTCTCAGTGAAGCTGGAGAGCTGGATGTGCTCTGAATTTAGCAGATGGCTTGGCATCATTGTTCCCTGAAGTGTTGTACACTGTTTCAGACCTTCAAAAGTTGACCGACTGGATGTTCCCTCCCTATTTTTGTTTCTTGGGAAAATCCATCTTGTGAAATTTAATAAGGCATACTATTCTTTGCAAACAAAATTTATGAACATTTCTCTGATCTCTTTGTTTTTTATTCACCAAAATTCATTCATTTAGAATGCAGAAGTGGCACTACACCTGCCTTGCTAGTGCAAGGTCCTGAATTTGATCCCCAGTACTGGAAAAAAATTTTTTTCAAGCTCTGAGAATGAATTGTATATTTTTATTTTTGCAAGCAATTTTTTAACTAATAAATGAGGGTTGAAAAGAGCAAAGATTGACATGTTTCAGAACTGGACTAGGATTATAGCTCACCACAGATGAGATCTAAAAAGTTCAGTTTATTCTTATGTGAAATGACAGTAATGACAGCTATTTTGCAGGGTGGTTTGAAGATTTCAAATAATATCCATACAATACTGAAAAAAAAAAATGTCTTGCAACTAGTAGAGGCTCCGGGATGGTAAATATCATTGTCATAGAAGCAATTTTGAATTAAAGAAATATTGAAACACAAAGCTATACATGGAAATGAGGAGGGGAAAATCACTTTTATTTCCAACTCATATGTTAAGTATTTAGAATTCTCCAACTAATCGACTAACTTTATTTTTTAATAAATCTCGTATCTGTGCCATTAGCCACATATGACTAATTAAATTTAAATTAATTAAAATCAAATCAAATTACAAATCAGTTACTTGGTACTTGGTTGTACTAGCTCAGGTTTTTGTTTTTTTGTTGTTTTTTTGGTTTTTTTTTTTTTTTTTTTTTGAGACAGTCTCATTATGTAATTGAGACTGACCTGGAACTCACTATGTAGCCCAGGCTGGTCTGGAACTCCCAGCAATCTTCCTGCCTCAGCCTCCTGAGTGCTGGGATTACAGGTGTGTGCCACCATACCCAGCAGTACTAGCTCTGTTTTAAGTGCTCCATAGACACAGATGGTGAGTGACTGCTGTATTGGCCAGTGTGTATACAATATTTGGTTCTATAGCACATCCAGGTGATATCTGGAATTATATGAAACTATGTTTCATATTATATAATAGTTTTATTGCTTTGAATATGATGGTGACTATGAAATAATTTAAGGAAGAAATGACATATGATTATTTTTCTAAGTGCATCACATTTAACAAAATTAAGAATCACTCAAGCAAGAATTAACAGTCATGTTATCTTCATAGTCAAAATTAATTTTACTGGTAAAACATTGGCATACAAGTCAAGATGGAGATGACTTATTCCTACACTTCAGAATATTGAACTTATAGGAATACAATGATGCAGACGAAGATGTTTAAGGTGTTTTATTGTATTACACTATATTATATTGAAAACTACACACAAGCATATCATTGTGCTGCTATCGTTAACGGAATGATGGCAGTCAGAAGTTTTCCTCACTCCTCTATCTGAGGGCCCATGTCTAGATAAGTACAGAAGGAGACAAGCTTTCTTGGTATTCCAACAAAGCTTGCAAAAAAAACAGAGATTGCATTTAGCCTTGTGCCTCATTTGACAGTAAGAAAACTGATGCCTAAGAGTGAAATAGCACGTAAGACTCAGAGAAGTCAACCAGAGTGCAGGGGTCTCTGTGTCACTTGGCCCTTTGAAGAATTTTAATTCATGATCTAGCAATCTTGTTCCTACTATATTGCCATGATCTTGTGAATTAAGAAATACTAATTAAGTAATACCAATTAAGTATTAGTATTAGTATTAATACCAATTTCTCTAAGAAACACTGGCACAAAATATTGTATTTGCTATTAAATTTTTTTGTCAGAAAATTCTACTTAGGTTTTAGATAGTTCAGAGCCTGTCTTTCCAACATTGTTTACGAGTTATTTAAAATTCAAGACCCCTGCTAATTATGAGAAAAGAAAAGATCTCTGAGAAAGAAATTACTTTTAAGTTTATTGTAGAGGTAAAAAACAGTAGAAGGGTCTCTTCTGTCATGGAGCCTGTGAGGTTTGCACAGCTACTTGGGAGTAGGCATCATAAAACACTCAGAATTCCACACACGAACTCATGTCATCCTCATAGTGAACCTGTAGGTGGGCTGTGGGATATTCCTGTTTCACAGACAAGGAAGCAGAGGCACAGAGGGTAAGTTGCTTACCCAAGTCTAATTAGCCAGATAAAAGCATGTCCAACTCCAGACTACCCAGCCCCACATGGGAGGCAGAAATCATGTGTATCTACTAATCTTCCAACTGTTGCTATAGATAGATGTGCTACAGGGGAAAGATACCCTATATTCCAAAAATGTAGCATAAAAAAATCACGTAACACATTTTACATTAATTGTTGAAATAATCTTTTGAACTATGAAAATGAAAAATATTAAACTTAATTTAACTTTTTGTGTTCTTTTTTTAACAAACATGGTTCATGTTTTATTTCTCTTGCAGGGTACTGTAGCAGAATCTGAGAGTTTGGCCACTGTTTGTACTTGCCAGTCATATGACAGGAGAGAAATAAAGAATAGTTCAAAAGAGAAATACTTATTGACTTTCAGATATTTTAGAGTATTTGTAATGTTACCAGATGGTTTTTCTAAAATTCAAATTTTTGGAGTGAACCAGTGTGTCTTACTAACTTACATGTAGGACAAATGTTGCAGAAAAGGCAATTTGGTATGGCTTGAGATCTTAAATGCTTTTGAAAAAGTTTGAGCGTCTCATTAAAGTCTTTAGTCTTTCCATATTTTACCTTCCTCCCTAAATAATATGACTTATTTCAATGCTCTCTGTCATTAATTATCTTCTCTTTCTTTTCACTCAGATAGCTTGATGAGTACCAGGATGATGGCAAAACAGAGCGGGAACTGCTGGCAGAAAGTGACCATGGTGGTGGTGGAAGGATGGGGTCTGCTGTCTCCTGAAAGTATCCACTTGGAGCTGTTGCTCTGCTTTACTTTCTGTGACTATCGATCTGATTGAGATCACCTATTTTCTATTTGCTGGAAATGGAGAAAATAACTGGGGAGGGTCAGTTGGCCGACTAGGTTGGCCATATTTTCTGCTTTTGATAACTTGCAAAGTTAGGAGAATGGACAAGGGGAAAACAATGAGAACCAAGACCTGTCATGTAAAGGTACAAGATCCCAATAATGAACATAATTGTACTGTATACCTAAAATGTACCAATAAATTCAATAACAGAAAAAGAAAATAAGCTGCAAAAAAAGTTAGGAGAATGAATGCCTCAGAACCATCAACCAACAACTGATGAAGCTCAGCCCACACTATCTAGGGTGCACAGGTTACTGTTGCTTGCCTCTTCTCTTTCTTTCACCTCCTCCATTTTATCCTTTTCCTTCCTCTTCTTTTGTCTTTGTGAAATTCAGACAACTGTAAGTTTACGGAACTACTGTATTGAAATGTTTAGCTTGCTATCCTTTGTAGATAGGTAAACTGAAGAGGTACATAAAAATGTGATTAATGTAAAATACTTTTATGTAGCATGTTAATTTCAAGGTGGAAGTCTTAATCCTACATGATGGTATATTTCCCTTAGTATTGTAGTAATACAAATAAGAAAATGTAAAATGAGACCAATACGTTGAATTATCTTTTGTTCCCCTTCTCTTCCACATTGGAGGAACTGGGACTCCCTCTAGAGCCATAGAGTGGGACTGGGACTTCTTAGAGCCAGTAGGGGGGGCTTGCAGGCAGATAACAACAGAGCACCATGTAAAGAATACATATTGAGGTAGATACCCAGCCTGCGTTAATCACTTTTCCCTATGAAGCCCAAAATACTTATCGGTGTGATGCCACAGGCAGCTTTTTCCAATCCTTCAAAATGGCACATGAGATAAAACCCATCTGCCATCACAGGAGAGGTCTTGGCATAGCTTTCTATATTGAAAGGATCTGTATTTCATTCTCCGTTCTACTACCATGAGGTAGATACGATCAGTGACTACATTTTGCAGATGAGAAAACCTGGACTTTGAAATGCCAACTGACTTGCCTAAACTCAGAAAAAAATAAATAAATAAAAAGAGAGCTAGGATTTGAACCCAGTGTTCTGACTTCAGCCTGAGGACAGACGCAGTTCTCTCCTGCCCCGCTGTCTCCTTCACTGTCTTTCAGTATCTCTTGAACTCATGGAGAGGGGCCTGAAGTTTCACATCTTGTGCAACACCTTCATGACTTTGTCATATGTGGGTATACTTGTACTATTATAATCTTGACTCTTTTCTTTAAACTGTATTTAAATCAGGTTATTTAGGGACAGAGTGTCAGAGAAATTCAAGCATGGCTGAGCCAAGTGCGCCGCACGCACATCTCCTAGCAGGCTAGGGGATATCAGAAGTTTGAGCATGCTCACTCGTGCATTGAGGCTGCCTTAGAGCCGGCTGAAGGACATTCTGTTTCTCCTATTCTCTGCCTCATCGCTTGCCCAAAAGATCACCTTATAGAGAGCATCAACCAATCATGTTATGCCCAGCATACAGTGTCCCTCCCCTTGCTACTTGATTATATAAGCGATTCCTCCGCCTATTAAAAAAATGGAAGTGATCCAGAAACCTCCCGGAGTCTGCCTGGTGATTCCACGCCTCATCCTCCCGATCCAAGCTGCAGAACTAGAGTAACTGACAACAAACAGAAAACAACAACAACAGAGGAAAGCTTAGCCTCATCCCAAACCATACTGGTATTATCCAAGAAATCACTGATTTAATATATCATCACATTTTTCTCCAAAGCACATTAAAATGAATCTGTACTCAATAAAATTCTATATAACCTATATGCTACATAAAATTACAAGCATTGAGCTGTGCACATGTTGCCACTATGAAAACTACTGCACATAAAATACTGCATTTTGTCATTAGGAAACTACTGTGTATGTATATATTCATTCTAGCGTATCATACATATCATGGTTTAAGTGACAGTCCAGTAGAAGCTAGTGTTATCGTAGTTTACCTTTTACTAACCCAATGCCAAGGATTACTCCGGCCCTTAGAAATAGTATATATGACATCTAAAAATGAAACCACATTAAAAATAGAGCTTTAGTGCTGTCTGTTTTAGTTTGGATCAAGAATGTCCCTCATACACCTATGTAAAAGGCTGGCTCCCAGCTTGGTGCCGTTTGCAGGTGGTGGGAACATGAAGGGGTGAGTCCTAGCTGGAGGTCTTCAGGTCTTGAGGTAAGTCCTTGAACAGGACCATGGGACATGACCTCTTGCTTTCTCTCTTATTCACTTACAGGTTTTGCTTTACTGAATGTGCCAGCCAACGCGTTCTTCCAAACGCACAAAGCAGTAGGGCAAATCCATCATGGACTGAAATCTCTAAAACTGTGAGCCAGAATAAACCTCTCTCTAAGCTGATTATCTGAGGTATTTGTCACAGTAACAGAAATCTTTTTTGTAAAGTATCTAGTAGATCATTTTGATGGTAAAAATAATAACTGTTGCATCTAGCTGTGGAAAAAACTTAGAGAACCAACTCTAACCCTTGATGACATTTATTTCATTATTCCTAGCACAAAGCAAACACTGAATAATAAACACGTTAATTTATTTAGCAGAAGTTATTAAGGTTCTCCCATGTGCCTGAGACAAAACCATGCACTGAGAACAAAATTGCAAACAGCATTTTCTTTCCTTCAGAGAGGCTGACGTCCTAGGAGATCCGGAGTGAAGAACATATGCTTCAACACAGGGCAATAGCACTTTTCTGCTAGATCAGAAGCCCTTTGGAGACAGAGATAATTTTGTGTTTTACTTTGAATATTTAGTTTTTTGGCATAATGCCTGTCTCACGGTAAGTGCTCTGTGTCTATTAAATGCATGAATCATCTCTGACTTACAATGAAATACACCTTTTTAGTGGTAAAATACAGCTCCTGCTTTGTGGGGAATAAGTACTCATACATAACTGCCCTCAATGCCTCTATTTTAATGAGCAATTCTACAACAATGTATTACAAATCTGAACATAATCCTGCCCCTTCCCCGACAAAGATTGAAATTCGATGCTTCCCAGTTCTGTCCAGCATCATATTTACAATCTGGCTTTTGAAGGGGGAGATGGCGTAAATTCTAATTTGATCTAGTTTGTGTTCATTTTTGTTTCTATTATTTTCATACTATTCATTTTCTTAGACATTTTCCAGATTTTGGAACTGGCTCAGTCTAAGCCCTCCTATAATAGTCTCTGAAAACAGACAAAAGGATCGAACAGCCATATTTATTTCTAGGGTTTCAGAGATGGCAAAAGATTAACAGGGAACCTAGCCCAAGTGTGGGAAATATATATTTAACAGAAAATGTTGAGTGGAAAAAGATGGTTTGTTGTTGTTGATTATCCCTTTCTTGTAGAAAGAATGATACAAAGCCCTTGTCAAGGCACTTGCATGTACACCCCTTAGAAATGCTGAGGAAGGAAAGACCACTGTGCAAAGGCAGGAAACAGAATGGCTCACTTCATGGAGCACGATAATCACCCAGCACATTCCCTGTGTCTTCAGGGTTCATGAGTATCTGGGCAAGAGCAAGATGAAGTAAAGAGCACTTTATCGGATAGGTTAAGTCCTCTATTAACCAGTAAGTTGTAGTAATATGCGACAATGATGTGGCTGGCTTTTAAATTCTGCTGTGTTTTCTTACAAACGTCTTAATCAGATTTAAGTGACTCATTTGTTGTAAAGACTAATGCAATTTCTTTATAGTTTCAGGTAATACAATTTCATGCAGAGCTAAAATCGTTCTTTAATACAGAGAGAAGCTTTCTAGGAAATCCATTGGTTAGGTTTAATTTGAGTAATCAGAACTGATACTTTTGAATAGTCAAAGTTTAAGTTACTTTTAGAGGCAAAGAAGCTCTGTAAAGTAGTCCTTTGCCCCACATTACAGTAGGCTGAAGTTTTTAAAATGAGAGATTCATTTTAATTCTTACAGGCAGTGAGATATACTATACAAAGCAAAACTCCCAAATTCAGAAATTATTCTGAATTCTCTATCACATTGAATCTGAATTCACACAACATGAACTACCCTGGACCTCTGCACACCTCTATAATGATGATTTAGGAAGAAGCAATTAAATTGAGAACTGAGCTTATAAAAATAGCAATAACATAATTTAAGGACAATGTTGTTATTTTTAAATGCAGCCTTGTCAATTGATTGAAACGTCACAAAATCATCATTTCCTAGGCCTTTCCCCAGATTGGTTTGATGGCTTGGAGGTCCTTTCCATCTTGCTGGGAAAACTCATTTCCCAAGACCAAGCTTTAAATTCCCTACATCGGTGAGAATTAAGGCCCTCCAGTCTCTGGGTTTCTGTATCACTGTCCTTGTCTTTTACCATAACGGTCATTTTCACAGTAAGTGTGTACCTTAGTTCACAACTCAGAAGTACGACACACATTACTTCTTTTGTTTTCTACATATCTATCAACTTAGCGTCTGGTTTCAGATGTTCAAATGTCCATTATATAAACTGGTAATGAGTGTATTAGCCACACTAGGCACATTCATCCTTTCCAAGAAGAACAGAATTCCAGAGGCTTATCTCCTGTTTGGAAAGGGAGAAAATGCTACCATCTGTCATTGTCCTTGCTGAAGGGTGTTCTCTCTGTGCTCCAGGCTGCTAGCAAAGTGCTAGTTCTGGCTGGGCTGGAAGCTGGTGCACTTGGTGCCTTCTTTCTAAGCTGACATGCAGCTCTCACCTAGGAAACTTGCATCACCTCTGGGTCTCCCTCCCCTTGCCGGGGGAGAAGATGTAGAATCTCATGGAGAACTCCTGGTTTGTAGCCTACAGCATCTTCTTTTCTGGTGGATGGGAATCTTCTTTCCTCACTCAATTGCTTCCCAAGTCCCTCTCCCTTCTGCTTCACCAGGAAACCAGTACAAGTTCTTTTATATATTTGAGCATTTTCTACAAGACTGGAATGTGTTTCCAGTATGAACATGATGATGGCAGAGAGAAAGCCTTTCTCTCTCTGTTTTTACTCAA